GAACTGGGAAGCAAATCAATTTGGGGCTGAAGCAACTCCATACCTCAAATGGACCTGGATTCTTCTCTGCTGGCTGCATCAGGACTCTGGTAGCTCTAAGTTCTAATACTAAGGCTCTTTGTCTCACTTTTTAAATGCATTAACAAAGAACAAATATGGGATCATTCTGGACCTGGAAACAGTAAAACTGGGAGGCTCCAAAGTTAGCATTTAAACTCTGAACATCCAAAACCTTCCGTTTGCCATTAAATGGTAAACATATAAATATGAAAATAAATTAGCTTCATGGAAATATGCTAGCTTTAAAAAACCTCAATAAAAGGTTTTCAGGATAAACCATTTTTTTTTTCGTCTTTCAAGAAGTTCAGTGGAAACATGAAGAACTATTAGTGTAAAAAGCCACAGAAGACGACAGACCAGAGGATGATCAGCTGTCTTGTGAAACCTATTATCAAGCTGTGATTTAGGGAAATTGGGTTTTGGACACCAACAAAGTTTGAAGAAAGTTTGTGGAATAGAAAGGCAGCTTTAGATGACTAAATATATCCCTATATCCAATCTTCCTTTCTTATCCAAAATTCTTGAGAAAGTAGTTGCCAAACAAGTCTGCGATCACTTCCACCATAATGAACTTTTTGAAGAGTTTCAGTCTGGCTTTAGAGCTCATCATAGCACTGAAACAGCTCTGGTGAAAGTCACTAATGATATTCTCATGGCCTCAGATAATGGACTTGTATCTGTGCTCGTCCTGTTGGATCTTAGTGCTGCATTTGATACAGTTGACCATAATATTCTTTTAGAAAGACTTGAATATTTTGTTGGAATTAAAGGAACAGCACTAGACTGGTTTAAATCTTATCTATCTGATCGAATTCAGTTTGTTCATGTTAATGATAGATCTTCAACACGCTCAAAGGTTACCTGTGGAGTACCACAGGGATCAGTGCTAGGACCAATTCTCTTTACTTTATACATGCTCCCAATTGGTAGAATTATTAGACAGCATGGGATTAATTTCCACTGTTATGCTGATGATACCCAGCTATATCTGGCTATAAATCCAGATGAAGCTAACCCATTACATAGATTACAGGCATGTCTTGAAGACATAAAAACCTGGATGACTCTTAATTTTCTGCTTCTGAATGCAGACAAAACAGAAGTTATAGTCTTTGGACCAGAGTCTCTGAAAAAGAAACTGATTAGCCAGTCACTTCATTTGGATGGGATTAAACTGATTTCAGATAATAAAGTAAAAAATCTTGGTGTTATTTTTGATCAGGACCTGTCATTTAAATCCCAGATCAAACAGGTTTCTAGAATATCCTTCTTTCATCTGAGGAATATTGCAGAAATGAGCAATCTCCTGTCCAGGGGTGATGCTGAGAAACTAGTCCATGCATTTGTTACTTCAAGGCTGGACTATTGTAATTCTTTACTATCAGGAAGTCCACAAACTGTAGTTAAAAGCCTTCAGCTGATCCAAAATGCTGCAGCCAGAGTTCTAATGAAAATGAAAAAGAGAGATCATATCTCTCCTATCCTGGCTTCTCTTCATTGGCTTCCTGTTAAATCCAGAATAGAATTTAAAATCCTCCTTCTCACATATAAAGCCTTAAATGGCCAAGCTCCATCTTATATCAGAGATCTGATTGTTCCTTATGTTCCTAACAGAGTTCAGTTCAGTTCAGTTTATTTATATAGCGCCAAATTCACAACACATGTCATCTCAAGGCACTTTACAGTTCAACCAGATCATACAGTCAAATTGATACAAAGTTTTCTATCTAAGGAAAACCAGTTGATTGCATTGACTCATTGACTCAAATACAATCCCCCACACTAAGCATGCTTGTAGCGACAGTGGAGAGGAAAAACTCCCTTTAAACAGGAAGAAACCTCCAGCAGAACCAGGCTCAGTGTGAGCGGCCATCTGCTGAGGCCGACTGGGGTTCAAGGAGACAGAAACAGAGATACAAAAAGCAGCTGTAAAAGGCGGCCCCGTCCAGGAAACACACAGCCAGGCAGACGAGCTCCAAGGCAGCTCCCATGCCAGAGGACGAAGAGAGCACATCCACTCAGTCACGGCCAGAGAAACAGGACCACACTGGAAAACAGGCCGATCTCCAACATCTATAAACAAGGGTGTTGATGGAAGCAGCACAGCTGATGTTTCTTTCCAGGATGACGTCACAGCCAAACAGGAACAGACGAGGCAAAGCTACTCTGAGGAAAAGCAGAGAGAGCAGAAGGTTAGAGATTGAACTAACAGATTCTGCAGAATAGGAGAACAGAGAGAGAATGAAGCAGAATGATGAAATGGGGGTCCCTATGTCCTCCAAAAGTCTAAGCCTATAGCAGCATAACTATAGAGATAGCTCAGGATAACCTGAGCCACCCTAACTATAAGCTTTATCAAAAAGGAAAGTTTTAAGCCTAGCCTTAAAAGTAGACAGGGTGTCTGCCTCACGGACTAAAACTGGTAGTTGGTTCCACAGGAGAGGAGCCTGATAACTAAAAGATCTGCCTCCCATTCTACTTTTAGAAATTCTAGGAACCACTAGTAAACCTGCAGATTGAGAGCGAAGTGCTCTGTTAGGAACATAAGGAACAATCAGATCTCTGATATAAGATGGTGCTTGGCCATTTAAGGCTTTATATGTGAGAAGGAGGATTTTAAATTCTATTCTTGATTTAACAGGAAGCCAATGAAGAGAAGCCAGGATAGGCGAGATATGATCTCTCTTTTTAATTTTCATCAGAACTCTGGCTGCAGCATTTTGGATCAGCTGAAGGCTTTTAACTACAGTTTGTGGACTTCCTGATAGTAAAGAATTACAATAGTCCAGCCTTGAAGTAACAAATGCATGGACTAGTTTCTCAGCATCACCCCTGGACAGGATATTTCTAATTTTTGCAATGTTCCTCAGATGAAAGAAGGAAATTCTAGAAACCTCTTTGATCTGGGATTTAAATGACAGGTCCTGATCAAAAATAACAGAGCACTTCGCTCTCAATCTGCAGGTTTAATAGTGGTTCCTAGAATTTCTAAAAGTAGAATGGGAGGCAGATCTTTTAGTTATCAGGCTCCTCTCCTGTGGAACCAACTACCAGTTTTAGTCCGTGAGGCAGACACCCTGTCTACTTTTAAGGCTAGGCTTAAAACTTTCATTTTTGATAAAGCTTATAGTTAGGGTGACTCAGGTTATCCTGAGCTATCTCTATAGTTATGCTGCTATAGGCTTAGACTTTTCGAGGACATAGGGACCCCCATTTCATCATTCTGCTTCATTCTCTCTCTGTTCTCCTATTCTGCAGAATCTGTTAGTTCAATCTCTAACCTTCTGCTCTCTCTGCTTTTCCTCAGAGTAGCTTTGCCTCGTCTGTTCCTGTTTGGCTGTGACGTCATCCTGGAAAAAAACATCAGCTGTGCTGCTTCTATCAACACCCTTGTTAATAGATGTTGGAGATCGGCCTGTTTTCCAGTGTGGTCCTGTTTCTCTGACCGTGACTGGGTGGATGTGCTCTCTTCGTCCTCTGGCATGGGAGCTGCCTTGGAGCTCGTCTGCCTGGCTGCGTGTTTCCTGGACGGGGCCGCCTTTTACAGCTGCTTTTTGTATCTCTGCTTCTGTCTCCTTGAACCCCAGTCGGCCTCGGCAGATGGCCGCTCACACTGAGCCTGGTTCTGCTGGAGGTTTCTTCCTGTTAAAAGGGAGTTTTTCCTCTCCACTGTCGCTACAAGCATGCTTAGTGTGGGGGATTGTATTTGAGTCAATGAGTCAATGCAATCAACTGGTTTTCCTTGGATGGAAAACTTTGTATCAATTTGACTGTATGATCTGGTTGAACTGTAAAGTGCCTTGAGATGACATGTGTTGTGAATTTGGCGCTATATAAATAAACTGAATTGAATTGAATTGAATTAAAGACAAACGGTGGAGGAGTTTATTTTCTCTGGTTCTGGAATCAGTGGGTTCTCAGTGGTTACAATGAGCAGGAATGTTTTCACTCCAAAAGAGGCCCTGCTCTCTTTCCAACTCCTCCTGAAAATGGAACTAGATTTCCTGGCCTGACAAGCATGACCAGAACTGTTTGGTTCAAAATCTCCAGCAGACAGTTCAGTGTCCAGGCATGAAACCTTCTCCAGGTTCAGCACCTTTAATGCTCACCTGAAGGGGAATCTACAGATCCAGTGATTTCCTGACAGAGCAGCTGAGACCACATCTGGTTCTACTGTTCTTTAGAGTAAAGAGGTCCGATCCTGGGTGGGGGGCTCAGTTTCCGTTACCCAGGAAACGTAATGTTTACCAAATGCTGAAGAACTGCTGCAGTTGGAGAAAGCTGCAGATAAAACATCTGAAATTTAGTAACAGGCAAGAGGAAAACGTGGAAAATTCTTACATCTATCAAGACCTAAAACTCATCTTTTCATTTAGATGAAAAAAGGCTGAGCAGACAGATTTGATTTCTGTCCATTTTTCCTCCCATGATGCAAACTTTTCAATCACATTTTGTCCTGATTAACATCAGACAATTTTTTGAAGCAAAGAAGAGATGAATATTTTGGACATGAAAAGGTCTGGTTGCCTCAATAAAACAGATCAGCAGTTTGATCTATCCATCTATCCAGCCCAGTTCTGTATTTGGGTAGAAAACCTGCTGGAACTTTATTGCTCCCCTTTGCACAATTGTAGAAAAATGCCTCCCTCTGGTGGCCAAATCAAGCTACTGCTGCTACAAGCTCAGATTTACTCCCAGTGAGCCATTGCTCCTCTCAGCAAAAGCTTTTTATTTGATTTGAATTCATCAGTGTGAGAATCTCAGCATCAAATCTAAACATTTAGATTAAAATCTGCAGGAAAACTTTGGTTTGATTCAAAAACTAAGGCCTGGTGGTTGGATCTTCAGTCCTGGTTCTAAACCCAGCAGATCTGGATTCATACAAAACAATCTCCTAACCCTAACCCTTTGTGAGGTTACAAGCAAATATCAGCCAAACAGAAATAAAAATAATCCTTTAATCCAAGGCCCAGAAATAAACATTTGACTTCCTGAGGACGGTTCAGGTCGGTGCAGATGCCTTTCACCCTGCGGGGCCCTTAACCACAACCTTCCAGGGTGAGGTCCATGTCGCCAGTTATCCTTCTTCAGGTATATCAGAGAACACCTGCCCCAAAACGGACAGCCGGGCACTGAACGGCTGTACGGGGCAGGACAGCACAGGCCGAGCCTTCTTCTCACCCGGCTTCAGAGCAATGCTTTCTGATTGGCTGGGGGGGTCCTGGGTCTGACTGGCGGGCCGCGCCGATTGGCCATCGGGCTGCGTCAGGCTGAGCAGGATATCCTGGAGCTCCTGGCGCTCTTGGTTATGAAGGCTGCAACAGTGGAGTGCCGCTGGGTCGAGAGGATGAGCCTCTGTGTTGAAGATAAAGCCCCCCGCCCCTAAAACACACTGGCCGCTGTCCCCCCCCTCCTCCCAGGAACCCTCCCCCTCCATTCCTGCGCCATGAAGGAAGTGGGTGGGGTCAAATAGCAAGTAGAGGTATTTGATGGTTTCAGCGAGAAAGAAGGACTCCATGCGGTTGTCCAGCTGATGATCCCTGAGATCTTTGACCTGGAGGACAAAGACAAGCAGCTGTGTAACCCTGGCTGATGATGCAGTTTCAACAAAAGCACTTTACCACATTAAAGGGGTGATAGAATGATTCTATAGGGTATCTGGTCCTTCGGGTCTCTAATAGGGTGATAGAATGATTCTATAGGGTATCTGGTCCTTCAGGTCTCTAATAGGGTGATAGAATGATTCTATCGGGTATCTGGTCCTTCAGGTCTCTAATAGGGTGATAGAATGATTCTATAGGGTATCTGGTCCTTCAGGTCTCTAATAGGGTGATAGAATGATTCTATAGGGTATCTGGTCCTTCAGGTCTCTAATAGGGTGATAGAATGATTCTATAGGGTATCTGGTCCTTCAGGTCTCTAATAGGGTGATAGAATGATTCTATCGGGTATGTGGTCCTTCAGGTCTCTAATAGGGTCATAGAATGATTCTATAGGGTATCTGGTCCTTCAGGTCTCTAATAGGGTGATAGAATGATTCTATAGGGTATCTGGTCCTTCAGGTCTCTAATAGGGTGATAGAATGATTCTATAGGGTATCTGGTCCTTCAGGTCTCTAATAGGGTGATAGAATGATTCTATAGGGTATCTGGTCCTTCAGGTCTCCAATAGGGTGATAGAATGATTCTATAGGGTATCTGGTCCTTCGGGTCTCCAATAGGGTGATAGAATGATTCTATAGGGTATCTGGTCCTTCAGGTCTCTAATAGGGTGATAGAATGATTCTATCGGGTATCTGGTCCTTCAGGTCTCTAATAGGGTGATAGAATGATTCTATAGGGTATCTGGTCCTTCAGGTCTCTAATAGGGTGATAGAATGATTCTATAGGGTATCTGGTCCTTCAGGTCTCTAATAGGGTGATAGAATGATTCTATCTGGTCCTTCAGGTCTCTAATAGGGTGATAGAATGATTCTATCGGGTATCTGGTCCTTCAGGTCTCTAATAGGGTGATAGAATGATTCTATAGGGTATCTGGTCCTTCAGGTCTCTAATAGGGTGATAGAATGATTCTATAGGGTATCTGGTCCTTCAGGTCTCTAATAGGGTGATAGAATGATTCTATAGGGTATCTGGTCCTTCAGGTCTCTAATAGGGTGATAGAATGATTCTATAGGGTATCTGGTCCTTCAGGTGTCTAATAGGGTGATAGAATGATTCTATCTGGTCCTTCAGGTCTCTAATAGGGTGATAGAATGATTCTATCGGGTATCTGGTCCTTAAGGTCTCTAATAGGGTGATAGAATGATTCTATAGGGTATCTGGTCCTTCAGGTCTCTAATAGGGTGATAGAATGATTCTATAGGGTATCTGGTCCTTCAGGTCTCTAATAGGGTGATAGAATGATTCTATAGGGTATCTGGTCCTTCAGGTCTCTAATAGGGTGATAGAATGATTCTATAGGGTATCTGGTCCTTCAGGTCTCTAATAGGGTGATAGAATGATTCTATAGGGTATCTGGTCCTTCAGGTCTCTAATAGGGTGATAGAATGATTCTATAGGGTATCTGGTCCTTCAGGTCTCTAATAGGGTGATAGAATGATTCTATCGGGTATCTGGTCCTTCAGGTCTCTAATAGGGTGATAGAATGATTCTATAGGGTATCTGGTCCTTCAGGTCTCTAATAGGGTGATAGAATGATTCTATAGGGTATCTGGTCCTTCAGGTCTCTAATAGGGTGATAGAATGATTCTATAGGGTATCTGGTCCTTCAGGTCTCTAATAGGGTGATAGAATGATTCTATAGGGTATCTGGTCCTTCAGGTCTCTAATAGGGTCATAGAATGATTCTATAGGGTATCTGGTCCTTCAGGTCTCTAATAGGGTCATAGAATGATTCTATAGGGTATCTGGTCCTTCAGGTCTCTAATATGGTGATAGAATGATTCTATAGGGTATCTGGTCCTCCAGGTCTCTAATAGGGTGATAGAATGATTCTATAGGGTATCTGGTCCTTCAGGTCTCTAATAGGGTGATAGAATGATTCTATAGGGTATCTGGTCCTTCAGGTCTCTAATAGGGTGATAGAATGATTCTATCGGGTATCTGGTCCTTCAGGTCTCTAATAGGGTGATAGAATGATTCTATAGGGTATCTGGTCCTTCAGGTCTCTAATAGGGTGATAGAATGATTCTATAGGGTATCTGGTCCTTCAGGTCTCTAATAGGGTGATAGAATGATTCTATCGGGTATCTGGTCCTTCAGGTCTCTAATAGGGTCATAGAATGATTCTATCGGGTATCTGGTCCTTCAGGTCTCTAATAGGGTGATAGAATGATTCTATAGGGTATCTGGTCCTTCAGGTCTCTAATAGGGTCATAGAATGATTCTATAGGGTATCTGGTCCTTCAGGTCTCTAATAGGGTGATAGAATGATTCTATCGGGTATCTGGTCCTTCAGGTCTCTAATAGGGTCATAGAATGATTCTATCGGGTATCTGGTCCTTCAGGTCTCTAATAGGGTGATAGAATGATTCTATAGGGTATCTGGTCCTTCAGGTCTCTAATAGGGTCATAGAATGATTCTATAGGGTATCTGGTCCTTCAGGTCTCTAATAGGGTCATAGAATGATTCTATCGGGTATCTGGTCCTTCAGGTCTCTAATAGGGTGATAGAATGATTCTATAGGGTATCTGGTCCTTCAGGTCTCTAATAGGGTGTGTAACATTGGGCTGAAAATGGCATATTAGCTGTTCTATGAGCCCTAATGCAGCCTGGTTAAAAGCCCTAGAATGAAACCACAGGTTTTTCTTCCTTTTATGGTTTGATCATGAATATTTAGATGAGCTGTGCTCTGATTGGTTGGTTTACAATGAGCCAAGCTGCTGAGCAAAGATGCATCATAGCAACAAGCACTCACTCACTGAAACATCAGATTGTTGATATGGTAGGGGGACCAGACGTCCTCTTTTTCCCGGACATGTCCTACTTTTCACACCTAAAAAAATGTCCGGGGGGGAATTTCAAAATCTTCTGGGATTTATGTCGACTACAGTCCTGCATGTCATCTCCGGGGCTGGTCTGGAATCCCGGTGGACGGGAGGAGGGAGCCAGTGTGGGACGGAGGGACTAAACCCCCCAGTGCTTCCCCCCGCCTGCCTTACCAGCCCCCAGCCCCCCTCCTCTGGCTGAGGATGGGCGGCTCATGGCTCTCTGCTGTGGTCCGGTCTAGTCAGCGGCCCAGCAGCCGGGACTTCCTAACCCCCCCACTTCTAAAACCTTCTAGTTTCTAAAAGAAATAAATGAAAATACTGTGACTAAGGCACAGCCCAACCAACAGCATTTAAAACATGTTTGTTTTTTTCTTCTCGAAAGCAATAGGTCTTTTTGAATAGCAGTAACAGAGACATGCCTGAAAATATGCATGTCGTTGTTTTACATTTATTCTGCATTATGTCACCAACTGCAGAAGGTTTGAGACCCTGAGTAAACTGTTCTACAGCTATGGGACTTTTAGATTTTGGAGCCACCAGCATCTCCAAAATTTGCCAAATTTTATTAACTTTCCATCTAATTATCTAACAGTGTGCAATGATCCAGGCTCGGATCAGTCTCTGCCTTTTACGTCCGGCTAAATATCCGGGCTGCATTATTGAAACTCACCATGTTAAGCCTTGTTTTAAAGGTCATTTCATTGGCTAGAGCCAAACATTACATGTGTGTTCAAGCGTACTGCTGTGTTTGATGTAAATAGAGAATATGTGCTGGCGACCAGTTAGGATTTAAGACGTTAAAATACTTTATCTCATTAAAAGAAAGATGCAAAAAATGAACCTCAGGATTCCAAGCTCTATGCCTTAACCACTAGGCCTCCCCCAATTGTTAGAGTTTGACTCAATAGCTTCAGTGGGTGGAAAGAACAAATCCACATCTCCACCTGTGGATTGAGGGGGTTTCTGGAGAAGATCATGACCTTCAACCAACCAGAACCATGGAGAGAAACCAGAGCAGAACAGGCAGCAGATCACCATGTTTTTTTGGATGTTTACTGTTGTTTCTGCTAATTTTCAAAGATTTATCCCCACTACATGACGATAGAGCTCTTTCCCAGTGAGCCCTGATGCTTTTAACTGGGGGGCTCAGAGCTGCTGCACGTTTGACTTCTCTGTCATTCTGTGGGCGGCTGCCTCAACATAGATGAACAACTACATTATTTCTACACACAAAAGACTAACGTGATGCCATGTGACTTCCTGACTCACGCTGGCGTAGCCGCAGGGCGTCTTGGCAATCTGCTCGATGGACTCCAGGGCATCAAGGCCAAACTGCAGGTAGGTGTGGTCCCCTGTGGCTCTGAACAGGTACATGGCGCTCTCTATTAGCTCTGAAACAGATGGAGGAGGAGGATTTTAAATCCATCACAGAATAGGAAAAATCAGAAATTTTCAACAATCTCAAAGTTTGATCTCAATGTTAAGTTTCTCATAGAGATTAGAGGTTCAAAGTTTGAAAGGATTAAATTCTGGAGAAGCAGCAGAATCGAGTATCACGGATTCTGGAACAGAACCTTAAGAAGATATTAAAAATCAGAAGTCTTGCTGGTTAAAGGCAGGTTCTGAAGGACCTAGCATGTGCATGCTCGACTTGGCCAACAGACAGAACCCAGAATAGACACACTGCCTGATGTTCAACACTTTTTCACTGTGCCATTTCAATTTAGTATACATAACTTAATTCCTGAACATCTATGGATCGATTTTGCTATATGTGTGGATTGCATGAATTGTTACCGACATCTGGTGAAAATTTCAAAAGCACCACTAGAAATATATTTACTGAGAAAAATGGTGGCATGTTATACTTATTTCACCCACTGTATATTTAGTGACTTTCACCAGAGCAGTTTCAGTGCCATGATGAGCTCTAAAGCCAGACTGAAAGTCTTCAAAAAGTTCATTAGCTTGTAAGTGATCGTACTTTTTTGGCAACTTTTTTCTCTGGATTATAAATGAGAAAGGAAGATTGGATATAGGTCTATAATTGACCAAGTCATCTGGGTCAACAGACGTTTTTTTAAGCAAATGTTTAATTACAGCAACCTTAAAAGCCTTTGGTAGGTACATATCCCTGTAACAGAGATAGATTAATCACATCTAAAATGGAGGAGGAGATCAAAGGGAATACCTCCTTAAATAACCTGGTTGGAACTGGATCTAACCCCAATGAGGAGATGATATGCTGCTACTGCTTTATGATACATCACTTATAGGTTGGATTCCCATAAGCATGTAGAGCGCCATTTTCTCTCCAGTTTCATAGCATTTTGCTTCAGAGTGTAAAGCTCTAAACCAAGGAGCCAGTTTTTTAATTTTAAAGTTTTTCTTTTTCAAAGGAGCTGCGTTGTCTAAGGCAATACGCAGAGAACTAGTAACCCCATCAACATAATCATCAACCTACAAGGGGAATAAACTAAGCTTTTGCACTCTGCAGCACTGCTCAGCAACACTGAGGAGAAAGTGAAGCAGATTCTTAAAAATTTTTATAACTTCACTATCTGATAATGATCTGCTAAAATTGAACCTTCTTTTAGGAGAGGAGAACTCTGTTAAAGTAATCCTGAAGGTTATTAGAAAGTGGTCAGAGAGGACAGGGTTGTGAGGAAATACTGTTATTTCTTCACATTCTATGCCGTATGTCAGCACAAGATCCAAAGTATGAAGATGAGAATGTGTGGGACTATTCACATTTTGAACAAAGCCAATAGTGTCTAAGATAGCATTAAAGGCTGCTCTTAAGCTATCGCCTTCAATGTCAGCATGGATGTTAAAATCTCCCACTATGATGACCCTGTCAGTATTTAATACCAAATCAGAAAGGAACTCTGAAAACTCATCTAAAAATTCAGAGTAAGGACCTGGTGGACGATACAAAGTTACAAAAAGAAGAGGTTTTCTGGCTTTGCAATTTAGACGAGGAAGACTAAGGGGTAAATGTTCAAAGAGTTGTAATTATTAACTGCATTTGGAGTAATCAGTCAGTCAGACTGAAAGATTGTTGTTACTTCTCTTCGCCCACAACTTTAGGGGATGTGAAAATTTAAATAGCTTGAAAGAGTTGCCTTATTTATGCTCAAATATCCTCTTGCTGCAGCAAGATTTCTGTAAGGACATTGGAGTTATTTTTCTATCAATTAGATCACCATGATTTACTCCTTCAAGATTCTTTTCTAATTTATTTGATTTTGGTTGTATCGAGACACTCTCTGGATGGAGTAAAGGGTGGGTAACAGTAAAGAAGCTGCCGAGAGATGTGCTAAACTATGACTCTGCTTCCTGGTCTGCACCCTGGGTTGACAGGATTTTGGAGGTCATCACACTCTTGTGCATGCAATCCTCATCTCTAGGTTCAAATATCATTAGAAACAAGCTTCAAATGCCTGACAAGGGGTTTCTCTAGCGTATTTCGGAGCAGTAGTCCATCACGCTCCAAAAACCCAGCATTATGCCGAAAATCAGGTCGATATCCTCCGTTTTTATGGGTTTACCAGTCCCTGACTGACGTCAAAGAAAGAAAGAAATCACCCTGATGCTGGTTGAGGCTTTTAGAATTACGATTCAGTGATACCCTTACTTTTAATGAGCGTAAAGGAAACAGAAGCTGTGTTTTTAAACATTTATGTTCTTATTTGCAGACATGAGGGTGAGCAATGTGAAGATATGAATCACATTGTTAAGGGTGTCATTGGCTCACAGGAGGCTGAACATGCTGCAGCCCCAACAGAAGAGAGGACATGCTCACAGGAACACCTGGTGAAAACCCTGCCAGAAAATACAAACCAACTGCTGTGTCAGGAAAGAAGAACAAAAGGGTTCTGTCCAGGTCATGAAAGTGGATTCTTCCCAGAATCACTAAGCAAAAAATGTTAGAAGAGCCAAATAAGGTGCCTGGAGACTAATGCAACAACACTGGAAAACATCAAAAGATGCCTTTGTTCTTCAATTGAGAAGTTAAAGGAGACATTTTGCCAATGGAACAAGACAATTGACATTTAAAATAACAAAACGCAATTGCGTTTTCTTATTTCAAATGCATTTTATCTAAATATCTTATTTTATGAGTAAAATAATCTTTCCAATGGCAAATCATTTTATTTACCTACTCACATTAAGGATAAATGCCCTTAATTTGAGAAATTTTTACTTATTTCTATATCATTTTTCCAGTGTAGGAAGCAGCTACATGTGGGTCGCAGTGCAGTCTCACCTGGTCTCAGTGGGTACCCTTCCCTCTTGTCAACAGTGTAACCCTGGGTGATGCTGTAGAACTCTGGCAGTCCTCCAAACTGTCTCCACACAGAGTAATAGTTTTGGAAGGTTCTCACAGCACTGTCCAGATCGCCCAGTAGAGACTGAAACATAGACAGGCACATCAACCCTCAGCTGCATGGGTCGGACCTCAGAGTTACTGGTGATCTACCTGCAGGCCGGGCCAGAACGCCTCAAGGCTCTGGAACACTGGCATTGTTACGGTTCCTTTGTGCATCTGGACCCACAGGTACCAGTCATCGAAGCGGGTGTAGTTCTGAATGGCTCTGTTATACGCTGAGGGGACAGCAATAATACCAAGCTGATTACACAGCATTCAATGTTTTAGGCTCAAACATCTGATGATTCTGAGTTTTCTGGCAGAACCTCAGTGTGGTGGCAGTATCTAGAACTTTACCATGGTACATGCTGAGAAGTTCCTTGTCCTGCAGCAAGATAGCTCCTTTCACCAGATACTCAAAATAAGAATCAACTCCGGCACCGATCCCGGCATCCTGGGCCACCCACTTCCTGGTCACAATGTCGATGTGGTTCCCCACCTGAACAAGTCAAGAAACAGCTCAGTCAAAAGTTCTGCTCAGTCCAAACACCCCAACTCAACCTCCAGGTCTTTAGATGCTGCTAACTCTAGTCTTCCGAAGACGTCTTTAGGGTCGGTTCTTTTGGACTTAACCCTTAAACTTTCAGTGAGGCTGAAGAAAGGCGGATTTAGAGCTCTTTGAAAAGGTCAAGATATGCTCTGGACCCAATCACCCTGCTCTGGAGCAGGGTGATTGGGTCTGACTTACCAGTCCAATGTCAGATCTGGTGCTCCAAAGAGCATTCAAGGCCCGGCGAGCAGAATTCTCAAAGACTGGGTCTCCAGTTAGTCGGGTCAGCATGGCAAACTCCAAGATGAAGGTTCCAACGCCAGCGGTACAGGTGACCGGTGTCTCAGTGGGACTGACCCCGTTCATCAGGTTCACAGTACCGTAGGGCATCCCTGTAGGCGTCTCAAAGGCTGTGGACGATAAAACGGGTCAACTTCAGGACCTCAAGCAGAAGCAGAACCTCTAATCAGTTCCACCGCCAGTCTAACCAACTCTAGACCCACTGAGGTTGCCTGGTTCTGGAAAGTTTCAGGTAAACCTCAACATGAAACGCATGAACCAATCATGTGCCATAAACTTCACCTGGTTGGTAGAGTCCAGTATCAATTAGGTTTCTCAAAATCAAATTCAGAGCTCTCAGCTTGAACTGAGCTGGACCAACATGTGTCAGACACGCTGCAGAAAACCATTCCTAATCGAACAATCAGAACTGCTCTGACCCATATTACTTTCTAAACCAAGAGGCATTATTCACTTAAGGAAACCAGAAGCTCGTTTGGACATTCCTACCCGGCAACAGCTTCCTGGCTGCGTCCTCGGCCATCCTCAGCAGCGGTCCAGAACATGGCCATCCGGGCTCCAGCTCCATCCCGGCCCGACCCGCCAGCAGGTGAGCAGACAGCAGACCGCCCACAACTGAGCAAACAGAAGGTCCAGCCGTTGAACTCAGAAACCCCCATCAGAACCAGACAGACAGTCGTAGGATTCACCTCTGATATTGGTTTCAAACACGGACGCATTGACGTCGATGTCGAAGTCTACGGTGTCCTGGAGAAGGGACGCCACACGTTGAAACTCTGTCCGGTTTCCTAGTACCTTCATGAGGAGGAAAACAAGTGATGGTTCCTGAACCGATCAGCTGGTGGACCTTCAAAGATGTGAAAACAGGCCCAGGTTCTCACCAATAACGTGTCGAGGGCGTCGATCAGAGTCAGAGAGAAGCTATAGCAATAGAAAAGAGAACCATTTATTTCCAACTTTAAAATCACAGAAAAAATTGTCTATCCAAAGCTAAAGCTGACAGCTGAAGTGGTTCGTTACATCCAAATCAAAGTTGTCTGGGCGCAGCCTCACCTGCCCCAGGTGTCCTGTCCATCACAGGTGAGTGGGCGGAGCTCATCATAGGGGAAGGCGTTGCTGAGGTAGCTGTCATAAGCGTGGTAGAACATGGACCTGATGCGCTGCCTGCAGGTTAGATTCAAAATGAGAACCATAGTGCTGCCTCCGGGTCAGATTCAGAACCTCGGACAGCTTCATGCATCAAACATCAGGTTCTACTGATCCCACCCTAGACCGGGGAGACATCTAGAGCAGGCGTCTTCAACGTTTTCCAGGCCAAGGACCCCCAAACTGATGACAAGATGGAGTTGGGACCCCCTAATTAAATATATTGTCTGAAATTGTGTTCTATCAAACTGGTCCTATAGTAACTCTATTACAGATGGAGTAATGTAAGGAAAGTAATTTCTCCCTGGGATTATTAAAGTATTTCTGATTCTGATTCCTGGTTGATGGGTCAGGTGTGAATGAAACGGTGCCCAGCTTGAAAGAGGTCCTGTGTGTGGCTGAATGTGCGCATTGATGACTGAAAGACATTTTCTCCCTCCATTTATCTTTTTACTACAGTGTGTTGAATTCATGTTAATGTGGATTTAAAGACATTTCAATTAAGGAGGGAATATAAAAAAAAAAAAATTAATCAACCAAAAGCTTCGCGACCCCCATGCAGTACCTCCGCGGACCCCCTAGGGGTCACAGACCCCTGTTGAAGACCTCTGATCTAGAGCTTCCATATATAGATCATATAGCTTCGGTAATGCTGTTGGACAAGAATCCTGAGGGGCACAAGCGGACCAGCTCAAGATGGCACCAGGAAACAAAAACAGAAGAGTCTCACATACAACAGATAAAAAAACTAAAAAGTCCGCCATAGTCCTCATGTGGGACATCTGCCACCAATTCTCCATGACACATCCGAGCAGATGTCGGTTCTCTGGGAACCACTTTTGGATCCAAGATCCTGCATTTAGGGCAAGTCGTAACAAACAGTAGAGCGGACCTCAGAGAATCGGGGCCGAGCCATTAGTGATAACATCAGCTTCTGTTGTCCCTCTCCCACCTGTCTCAAAGTGACATCACTTCCTCTGTCCTCAGATCTCTCTTCAGATATGATCAACCTGCTGCTAACATCCATTCTTTGTTGGTTTAAAGTCGTGTTTCAAACCGGGGTTCTGTGGCCCTTTAAATGAAGGTCCCCTCCCAGAGACTGATTCAAAGACAAATCTGCTTTAGGAAAGGTAGAAGAAATTTTATTTCTCGTTTTATTGGACAATTTAACACTAGAAAGTCTCCAGTGCCCCCAACAGTTCTTCCCAACTCATGAATCCGTTTTCAGATGTAAATGCCCCATTAGCGCTGTTGTTTGGTTTTAGCTCAAGCCTCTCTGTTGGTGTTTTACCTGAGTGTGTGTGTCTGTGTGTCAGCTGACGCTGACAGCTGCAGAACCCAGACAGAACCTGCTGCTGAAAGCTGCAGAACCCAGACAGAACCTGATGCTGAAAGCTGCAGAACCCAGACAGAACCTGCTGCTGAAAGCTGCAGAACCCAGACAGAACCTGCTGCTGAAAGCTGCAGAACCCAGACAGAACCTGATGCTAAAAGCTGCAGAACCCAGACAGAACCTGCTGCTGAAAGCTGCAGAACCCAGACAGAACCTGATGCTGAAAGCTGCAGAACCCAGACAGAACCTGATGCTAAAAGCTGCAGAACCCAGACAGAACCTGATGCTGAAAGCTGCAGAACCCAGACAGAACCTGCTGCTGAAAGCTGCAGAACCCAGACAGAACCTGCTGCTGAAAGCTGCAGAACCCAGACAGAACCTGCTGCTGAAAGCTGCAGAACCCAGACAGAACCTGATGCTGAAAGCTGCAGAACCCAGACAGAACCTGCTGCTGAAAGCTGCAGAACCCAGACAGAACCTGATGCTGACAGCTGCAGAACCCAGACAGAACCTGATGCTAAAAGCTGCAGAACCCAGACAGAACCTGCTGCTGAAAGCTGCAGAACCCAGACAGAACCTGATGCTAAAAGCTGCAGAACCCAGACAGAACCTGCTCTGAAAGCTGCAGAACCCAGACAGAACCTGATGCTAAAAGCTGCAGAACCCAGACAGAACCTGCTCTGAAAGCTGCAGAACCCAGACAGAACCTGATGCTAAAAGCTGCAGAACCCAGACAGAACCTGCTGCTGAAAGCTGCAGAACCCAGACAGAACCTGCTGCTGAAAGCTGCAGAACCCAGACAGAA